AAGATAAGGGAGAAGACTTAGAGATGTGGTAGAGAATTTTTACGAGTTCATGTAGGTGTAATAGCAAAAGAAGACCGCCTCCATGTCCCTTTGGGCTACAAAAATATGAATTGTGGCTGTGGTCTCGTTTTGGTATGTTTATGACTGCAATTGTGTGTCGACATCTTTGTACTTTGACAGTAAGTGTTCATGCCAAATCATTTTTGTGATTGTACTTCATTTGTGTGTGTGTGTGTGTCTGTTTCTGTGCCCCCCAGGGCAACACTGAGTTTCCTAGAGGGCGGAAGCAATGATGACAACTATTTAATTCTCTTGTGGTGTTACAGTAAGAATGATAACACTAACATGGCACTTTTGCTAAAGAAATTGCCTGTAACGACAAATTCAGATAGAGGAAGCACTATTGAGGGTTTTTGCACTGAGCCATCATTGCTGTATTGTAGCTGTGGGAATGCATTTTCTGTTACATTTGGAAAAAGACACAAATGAATGTATGCTATGGCCAGGTATGTTTGCTCTTGTTTAGTAGCTCCCCTTATTTAGCTGAGCTGACAGCTTAATGCAGCCACACCAGGATACTAAGCTTGAATGGAATATGCGTATTCATCCGTCACATTCCACATTGAATTGTGTTCATATTTGAACCACAACAGAATGATGTATCCACAAGCAGTTACACATACACATGTACACTTTTTTTTACTATTGTACATTTTTTATAATGGTAACATGTTACCTCCTGCACTTCCCACACTGTCAGTCCCATTTGTTGCACAGTAAAACCAACCCTGTTGCCAGAATAGAACACTGACATTGTGCAATTCTGCAAAACCCGGAATTAAGTTGAACGTCCAGTGCCAGTGTTGATGAAACTTCTTCCTACTGTACAGGATGTGTGCATGACGACTCAGGCATGGCTAATGTTCTGGCTTCAGTTTAATAACATTCGCTACAGGTCTGACAGGACTCAAACGTCAAGTTGGACATGCTACACACACCTGTACTTCCTGCTTTGCTGCATAAAGGGCACACTGCTTTTTGCACTGACACTAGGAAAATGGAACTAGATATAAATCATGTGCTGCACATTAATCTTGTATGAATGTAATTCCTCACAATCCTGGGCTGGTAAAACAGCACTCAGATGTGTTATTGGGGCGAAATCTTAGCCTTTCAGTGCAGCGGTTGGTAATACTCGTATATCCTTGAACCTTTGACAGTTGGTACAAAGACAGGGATATAATGAGTGGGACCTCTCTGTGAGACTAGAGGAATCCACTATAAAACAGCTATTATGGTGTTTTTGTGCCAATTTCATTCACATCAAAATATCAGTGCCACAGTCACAATAAAGTTCGAGAATAAAACATGTTTCATTTATCTAAAATTTCATCAGTAAATGGCACATTTCAGTGTCAGATCACCTGAATGAAAAAGATAGTTCTTACTTTTACCAACTTACCCATTCAGCAAACAAACAAGGAGAAAAAACAAGTGGAAGACGAAGAAGTGTTAAAACAGCTCCACTTCACCATATGACATGAATCAATGTTTCCGTGGTGAACTTGATACGACCAAAAATCTCAGGGTTACGCGGTGTGTTTATGCTGAGGGCAGCAGCTCCTTTGAGTTACTGCTGGTTACAGCTCCGCTTTTACTGTGCTGGCTCTATGAGCTGTAGATTTTTTGTGTCAAATGTGTAGACCAAAAAAACTGCAGGAAAGTTTTGGTTGGTCTTAAATGTGTCAGTATTTTTGTGCTCATATGGACTTACACACTGCCACTATGCCACTTTGCTGCTTGCTAGTCCATTTTCTCTGCTTCTGCCTGTTTTTGTAACTTTGTGGCTGCAAATAAATGCACTTGCACCCAGCTGTGGTTGTGTTTATGCAGATCACATGCCGCAGTGCAGCCTGAAATTATGCCTGTCTTATGCCTTTTTGCTTGCTCAAACCAGACATTTTTGCACATGCAGCTGCAAACACACCTGCAAATACAACTTTTCTGAGTTGTCACATTGCTTTGACCTTTTAGCCTTTGACACGATGGTGCCTAAACTTAAACTATATTTCTCATTATACCGTGTTTTTATTATGTGACTTACTCTTGAGCATATCAGAGAAAATGTCTCACAGAAAACTGAACATTAGAATTTGACTTTACAACTTCATGCTCCAAAGACTCTTTATATATATATATATATATATATATATATATATATTTTTTTTTATTCATATGTTGATATATATGATATGAAACACTATGCGATGCCTTCAAAGTAAGAGTTGCTTTACCCCTGTGTTGCAGTTTAAAAAACAACTGTACAAAGTTGCACCTACGCGCTGTCCAGTCATTTCATACAGTTTGCTGCTGAACAGAGTCTCTGTAGTAAATGGGGGTTAAGTACATCACTCAAGGGCAAGTAGATGGCAGTTGCAGAAGGAGCAAGGAGTGCTGCCCATTCAGTGAAGTCCAGATCTTCCCATCTGGTCTGGATATAAGCCTGCATTTTGAAGGATACTGGGACTCCTTTTGGTATTTTATTCAACTAAAATGACCCTGTTTTCTGATCTATGCCGTTAAGAGATTCAGCAAAGAGGGAGACACACACTGATGACAACACTCCAACTTGCTGTCCTGAGTTACCCTATGCCAGTATGCAGTTTCTAGTTTTAGTTTTTATGAACAGTGGGCCTTTTAAGTTGAAAATCCGCTCTAAGGAATTCTAAGCAAGTAGCTGAAAAACACACTCTATAAAACCTTCTCACACTCATACTTCACACAGTCTGACACCCTAAATATTTGGTCACAAACAGAGTGATTTCAGCCAGTGTCTGTCTGTGTCCTTGACTGTGCTTCATTGTGCATATACATGCATCTGTCTGTCTTTTCTTCATCTCATTGAAGGACTGCCCTTATTCCTCCAGTGACTGCTGTTGTGCTATTAGTAAGGCTACACAAACACACATGCTCACACACATACACACACGCACAGACATCTTGATTGTGTGACAAGGTGAGGAAAAACTCAGGCTGATGGATGCAATTTTCCATCATCACCTCTTCCCCCTTTCAGCTCTTCTTTTTTAACTCGTCCTCTATTTACCCTCTCTAACTCATTCTGTTGCATTTTTGGCACTCTTTTATTTATTTTCAATCTGCTTGTCCAACTCAGGGGTGCTGGCAGAGTTTTCCATAAGCGCCGGCTGTCGGCGGGATGGCCGGACATTAAAACATTTCCAGCCAACTACTTTCTTACTGTTTCAAGTCACGTCGCCGTCACTTTTTATGACCTTATAACCTTATAACATTGGGGGATTTTAGTCATCGGACGTCTGGATCTTAAGTTATCAGAGAAACAAGCTGAGCACACATCCCCTCCTGCAGCCCCCCCTCATGTCCTGTGTCCACCCAATGAGTGAGTGTTTTTACCAGTTCTAATTACCTGGTCTGTTTGTTTTGGTAGGGAGGAGACCTCTGCAGATAATTCAGCTCCCAGTGAAGACCTCCTCAATGACTGAAACTGAAGGAATCCTAAAAACAAGCTGAACACAGAGAAATAAGGTGAGCTAATGTTCGCGGCAGCTCAGTTAACAGCCTGCAGCCCCTCATGATGTCCTGTGTCCACTAAAGAGCGTAAGGTAGACACTGATTTTTTACATAAAAAGGCTTTATTTAGTGTTTTTACTGGTTTTAATGGTGGAGGTGGAGATAATTCAGCTACCACTAAAAACCTCCTAAACAATGTACAATGAAGGATTCCTAACCTGGAAATAAAACAGCAATGAGTTGTTTAACAATGAACACATATCCCATAATCCCACACTAATTCAAGACAACTTCAAACTCCATCTTGTGATATTGTGATTGAGAGACCCCTAGCTGCAGAGAGTGTCGAATTTTTGTTTACTTTGTAAAAGGAACGAGGAATTTGTTACCATCTTTACTTTAAATTAAAAAAAAAAATAGAGAGCAGCCTCAAACGTGTGTCATGATGGACAACTTAAGCTCACGTTGCTGAACAGCAGCAGAGGCACAGACTTACAGAATTTAAAGCAACAATTTGACAGTCAGTTTAGGAAGTAGGGAAGTGTTAGATGAGAAGACTGATACCACTTCCATCAGAGCGAGAGAGAGAGAAGTACATAGTATTTACTTACCTGTTACTTTATATTCATTTGAATTTTAAACATGAATAAAAAATTCTGTTGCTAAGTGACACTTTGCATCCAAAATTTCAAAAGTTTTTTTCTTTGGACCTTTATGTTTGTGGAAGTGACAGTTTTTGTAGTTTTCTGTTTAACATTGTGCTGTTACTAGAGATGTAAGAAGACATGGACATGTATGGTCCTCCGGTGGATCTATCTTTTAGATCTCTGGCCCAAATTTCAGGTAAGATCACTGTCTGAGCTTCTTAAATTGACAGTAGTTGCTTTGTTTTTATATTTTCTTCCGGTGTGCATAATAGTTCCACTGTTCTCTATGGGAGTTAGTTTTGCTGTAATAACAGTTAAGTATGCTAACATTTATCATAGTATTACAGTGCAGTGGAAGGGTGTTATTTTTAGTCCAACTGCATTTCCTGTTCAAACCCTGAGCTGTGTGTTCCTCTTTGACGCATTGGTCAGTTGCAAGATTTCACATGTCAAGTGCTGTGATTAAAGTATTGACACATACTGTATTTTCCACATGTTGTCACAAACTAGATAGTGTTGTAGTTACTGAATAGGACACCTGAAAAGAGACTACACTGTTAAAGATTTTGGTAGTAAATATACCGAAGACTCCTCATTTCTTTGCTGAAGTCTCCAGTGCTCCAGTCTTACACCTAAAATGAAATAAAAATAAATCTGCACCTAAATAAACTGACAGATGTCTTTTAGCTCCAGAAATATGAATGTGAATATTCAAGAAAAGCTTGCCAGTACTTCATATCACAGTAATGACTTTATTTGTGGTTCAGATGCATTGGCAGCGAAACCTCAAAATCGCCACCGGTCTGCAAAAACAAACTCGGAAGGGAAGTATGTGTGTTGCTCTATGATTCTCAATAACAACAAGCTCCCAAACCTTGTTGGCTTCCTTGACGTTCTCAATCATTTTGTGGATCAACCATTGAAACTCATGTGGCTGGACATGTCCTTCAACAAGCTCAAAAACATAGACCCGGTGAGATTTCTCCCTTCCTCCTTTTCATAGCTTATTTATATTTGCATGTTTGCCTCTTTAAGTTTTTCTTTCTTTCTTTCTTGGATCACACAAATACCACTCATGTCATTTGAATACAATTGTATTTGCTTTTATCCAAAGCCCAAGAAGAACAAAGCCAATTACATTGATAAAGAGAAATGTTTGACTAATTAAACTCTAATTAAAGATCCACATTTAAGAACCAGCTGAAACAAAAATCAGTACACCCTTCTTTAGAAAGATTGTTTTATTTTTTTTTATCTTGTATGTCTGCCTTTATTTTGGAAGACAGATTTGATCCTTCTGGGCCTGGATGATACCAGTCTTGATTTTGTTGTTTTACCTTCCACTTTAAAATACTCCAAAAGTGTTCTACTGAAACAAGTCCATAATTGTCCTGGTCATAGTTTTCCAGTTTTTGAGGATAGCCACTGCACCCTCTGTTATTGGCAGTGTGGCTCTTCCTACTTCACTGTCTTATCTGGGCACTTCACACCTACTAATATTATTCATGCATGTACATGTTATTTGATTTCAATTTACAATTAAGCTGATTATGAGAGAGTGTGTTTGCATTCCAGGTTTTGTGCAAGCTGCGTGAGCTGCGTGTGCTGTACTTGCACGGCAACAGAATCACGAAGATTGCAGAGGTAGACAAGCTGAGAGAGCTGCAGCATCTACGCACCATCACGCTACATGGGAATGAAATCGAAAACCAAAAAGGCTACAGGTGGAGACTGTTTTGATTTTATTTCAGTTTACACAGCTCATTTACAAACACATTCTGCTTGGGTGATAGATGTTTGGCTGTAAGATGCAGCCGATTCTTGCCGGTTAATAACGAGCTAAATGTGATGGAGCAGAACAAATCTGAAACAAAGCCTTGTACACAAAGTTGGTGTTTCACACTGCAGTTATATACTTGATGATTCTTGAAGGTTACAGCTAGAGGATACAACTGCTAGAAGTCTGCAGTTACATTGTGTGTGCATCTGAAGTTTATGAAAGCAAGTTGGCTGATAACATTTTAATAGGTGCTTAAATTGAGATCAGTATTACTCATATTACAATGCATATCCAGTTCCCAACTGCATATCAACACACACACACACACACACACACACACACACACACACACACACACACACACACACACACACACACACACACACAGAAAGAAGGTCGCCCTTAATTCGGTAGATTTCTCATGCATTCAGCCTCTTGATTTAATTTTCATCTCATTTCATACTATCATTTATGTGAAATAGCAGGAAAGTACAGACAAGGTCTACTTTGCATAGAATTAAAGATATCTTCCTTATTCCACATTCAACGCACATTCATTGTATTGAGGTGCTCAAAATGTCCATGTAGAAGCTAATTTATTGTGTACATGTTGTTTTGGTTTTTTTTTTGTAGGAGATATGTGATTTCCAACTTGACTCAGTTGAAGATGATGGACTTTAGTGCTGTAACACGTGACGAACGAGTGATGGCGGGTATTTGGCGTCACAGCAAGATCCAAAGCAAAGGCACCAAGGAGAGTTCCCAGTGACTAATTCAAATACATAAAATTTTTCATTTGAATTAACAATCCTTAGTTGACTGTAAAAATCTGTTATTAATTGTTTTCTTTCCCTAAAATATAATTCTGGCTCTAATACTAACGATGCCACTAATGCTCACTGAAAGGAAATTACTGGATATATGTTGTGATGTTCTTGGAGTCTGGAGGCTCCCTGAAGTGCCAGCTACCAGCGAAATCTACTCTCACCTCTGGCTGCCTGGCTCTTTCAAAAGAAAGAGCCATTAACTGAACAACATAATGATATTACAACTATGATGCTCAGTTAGTAATATTTGACCATAGAAAGTATTTTGTTGAACTGGTGATAAAATATGAGAATATTTGCCTGTTTACAGGTATTACTGATATGAACAAGTCTATAACAGCATCATAGACTGCCATTCATTTAAACCAACCATTCTGCTCTTTTGATTGAATTCAATTTACTTTTACCCCAACTCCCTTTTCACAGTACACAACCTCAATTTTTGCTCAAGTGTGTGAACTTTAGTCCTAATTATGTGTGAATGAGAGTACAATTATTGATCACCTGAACTGACTGAAATATCTGTGTGTATGTGTGTGTGATACCTTGTGTATATGTAATGTAAGGATGGATTCTACCTTGGATTTGGCATCAGTGTAAGGCAATCAGAATCCAATTTACAGACATACACATGCATGTGGGGTCATGCGCATGCACACACACACACACACTCACACACACACACACACTAGCAATATGAATGTAATACGTTCAGTTTACTTTGTAAAGAGCTTTGGGTCTCTGCTATTGCTGTTTGGTCTTGTTAGTGAAGAAATGTGGACCATAAATCAGCCCTGAGGCTGATTTAACTGGCTGTCCTCCAGGCTCTATTTGGTGCAGAATCGTGTATCAGTGTTTTCCCCCGCAAAATCTTTAATTGGTGGGATGGAAATCCTCCTGAATCAGCATTTAGGCCACGTGACACAAAAGCTGTGCACTGAAACCAATACTAATGAAATTGTTTGAAACTGAATGTAGACCCTGTGGGACTAAACAATGAAATTGATACTTGTGTAAAGTACATCTGCACAACAGTGTTTAGACTTCAGTTTCCTTTGAAATTTGTACTAACATGGTTCCTTTGAAACAGCATTTAGACTGTGTGTTTCAATCTGTGCAGTGAAGCCAATATCAATGAATTTATTTCAGTCAGGTTGGCAGCTGCTCTCAGCAGGATGGCCCGCTTTGAGTGTATGGTGGATGAGGAAACAGTTAGATGCACTTTACAGATTTTGACTTATGATTGGTCTGTAGTGAATTACAGTAGGTAGTATACTGTAATTTAGCAACCATGTGAACTGATGTTCTAGTTCTTAATGAGACATAGTAAAACTAAGATAATATTTTCTAAATTTTCCATGTGTATTTCTTTTTATTTCACACTATATACAGTATTTACAGTTTGAGTGCTTTATGAATTTTTTTTTTTTCTTTTACATGAATTTAACTGACATACAGTAGATTCATACTGTAATGGACAACCTGCTTACAGTGACTAGTTCAAATAAATAAAATTTTAATTTGAATTAACAATCCTTAGTTGACTGTAAAAATACACTCATTATACCGAGATTCCACAATTTTTCAGGAACAGCTTCTTTACAAAACAGCAATTCAGTTTTTTATTTGGCACAGAAGGACCATCACTTTGCAGCCAATGGGTAAATGAAAGAAATATGCCAATTTTCAACTATTCATAAGGAGAAATGGTAAAACAGCCTGAGATACCTGAAGCTTAAAATTTTTAAATCATGGATCATATTTTTATAGATTTGATCATCATTTATATCAGATGTGATGTGTAGTAATTAATCATTAGTTTATTAATCACATTCCCCATCCATAACTTTTAATAAACAGCTTTTCAGAGTCATGCATGAGGAAAATCACTCTCCAAGACCAGCTTATAAAATAATATTGCTATCCTGAAGGTACAGAGTGGCAGGTACAAAATATACTGCACCACAAAGATGCAGCCAAAGGCAGATAATGTGCTTTTATTTTATTGTGAGCAGTTAAGTTGTGATGTTGTGCCTGATTAATAATCCCTTTTTTAAAATAAAAATTGAATGGTAAAATTGTAAATTAAAATGTAACAGTAAAAATGATTTATAACCAGCCAGTTGAATGCACTAAAAAGGACTGAATGCTTTCAGGTGACTGTGTGCATTACATTAATTGAGGAACAAGGCTTTTATTTAATCTATGAGCAGCACAGACAGAGGTTAGAATCTGCCATTATTCTTTATAATGCTGCCAGGGAAAATATCTGTTTCTTATTGGCTGGCAGGTGTCATAAAACTGCATTAAGACACCAGAGAGTCAACAGTTTACTCAGTGTCACATGATGCAATACACGTTCAAGGGATGAATTGTGTGTAGTGCACAGGTTTTGGTGACTGATTGCCAGATCTCACGGTGTAACTGCACTGCTGGGGTTAGAAACACTCTATCAGTAGGTGTGTGGCAGCTGGCATAAACCACAGATAATCAAATTACCTGCTTCCCTTTCCTTTCAAAACAGCAGTGTGTGCCACGGCTATATGTCAATTTTATGGTAAAAATAAGAGCCCAGAACTGATGCCCTTGTGCTGGAGCTGCAAACAAATTCACGGCATCTTCAATTAAATTTAACACGTCGTCTTCCTGTCCAAGAGGAAACCAGTGTGTGAAACAATTCACCCTCCTGCATTATTGTCCTAGCTAAGTGGTCATTCACTGTGGTCACTCACCACAGCTACATATACATATTGTTACAGAAAAATATGCCTTCTTTACTCCCATGTGAGGGAAATATCAAAGTCAAAGCTGTCATCCACAAAAGGACAGAGCAGAACTGCACCTAGCTCCATGTGGCTTTGATGTGGTCTGAGCAGGCAGGCGACATGCACAAATCCCAGTAATCCTCAACTCTAAAACTGTACTGCTGCACTGCTTGATCGTCACTGACACACACCCCCTACTGTTCCTCTCCTCCCACTAGGTGCAGTTGTTCTCTGCTCCCTTCGGGAGATATGACATCACTACAGGACGCAGACGGTGTTTATTCTGCTCTGGATTCTGCTTGTCAAGACTCATTCTAAACCAGGCAGTTGCTGCATGTTTGCAGGTTTGGGAGAGAATCCAGCTTGGGTGTCATAAAGGACAGAGTCCAGAGTGCATTATTTTATGGGCCCAGATGTGTTGAATAAATCATTTTCCCCAGACCTAATTAAACACTTACTGCCTAGCCCTGTTAAGCTATTAACATCTGCTCTACCAAATGAACTAGGAAGGGCTCCAGCACTAGATGGATTTAACAATGGCAGGCAGAATAAATATAGCGCTCTGTTTCATGTTGTTCTTTCCTTTTTCCATTTTCTCTGCTCGCCTCTCCTTTTCTCTGTTTATCTCTCGTTTTCTGTCTTTGTAATTGTCTTAGTGTCTGCTGCTCTCGCTCTTAACATTTTTTTGTTTGACTTAGTTGAATAACTGCGTCCTCCGCTGCTTCTGTTATCAAACAGGATATAAATTATAGAAGCCATGGTGGATTTCATTCCATCAGTATTTCTTACAGATCTTTTTTTTTAAAAAGGAAATGGCTGATATTCAGTCATTGACATAAAGACCATGCGCGCTGTCATAAGATGTTTCTTCAAAGGCTTTTGGGATGTAATTACAATAGAAACTTTTAAAGGAAAATAGCTGCAAGCGGCAATTTGTGGGTTCTAACCTTTTTGCACTCAACAGAAGCAAGGAGTGGGTTTCAGGCTTAAAAAAGCTCAGCAAAGTTACTGAAGCTAGTTTTACTCTGTTCAAAGGACTGAGACCAGTCTCTCACTTGTTTCATCATCGCAAATGTATGCAGGAAAAAAATTCAATTCAATAGTGTTCATGTAGTAAATATCATCATATCTTGTCTACCATGTATAATAAATGAGTGTGTGCGCGCGCATGTGTGTCGGTGTTGCAAGTGTCAGTTATACGTTGGGGATGCTGACGTGACACCATGTGGGGCAAATTCAATTAAATATTAATTTACCACTACTAATACTACTACTAGTAATAATGATGATAAGAAGATACATTAATGTGAAAATGAGCCAAATATCATGTTGACACTGAGATCTCTGTCAAATTTCAGTTGTTTGGTGTATTCAGGCTTCCTCAGTCTTTAATTGTAGTCAGTCTATTTAGCGCTGGGTCCAGTTCAGTTAGTTTTGAATCCATTTTCAGTCCAGTGAAATGTTTATACAAGTTAAAAGTTTTCTTTTAAATATTATATTCTTTCGCACTACATGCACTGTTTTTCCTCATCTGTTTTTTTGTACAGTTGTCTTCTCATTTGCTGTTCTTATTGTATTGTATAGTTATCGTATTGTATATTCATCTGTACTACTTTGACTGTCTTTCTGCTGCTGTTAACCAAATTTATTGTCATCTTATCTTATCTTATCTTATCTTATCTTAGACTTCTGCGTGCACCCGATAATTGTGGTTCTTGGCTTGTAACACAGCGCTACCACACTGGTATGACCTGATAAGGGGATGAAGGGAAGGCGTCTTCTTCTCCGGGTGGATGAAGTGCTAATGGTGGCTTGCCCTCTCCTTTGGCAAGGACAGAATCCAGAATCCAAGATCCAAGGTATCCTCAATACCTGGGCTCTATAAACAACAGACCTCTTTTTTGAGGTTAAGTCTGCATCATCTATGGCCATAGTAAATCAACAAATCATTATCTCTCAACATGCCACTATAATATACTAGCAATGAAGTTGGTTAACTTGTTTTAACTGTACAGTATCTTCTTTTATTAGTTGTGTTTTTTCTTTTTATTGTCAGTAATGAATTATGATTGCAAACGTAAAAATTGCCAAAATTGCATTTCTAGGTCTCAATTACAGCACAACTATCTCGCCAATTGGGCCCATGTTTCTTGGGAAGCATTTTCACATCATTTCTA